AGAGCTGTCCGCAAGCTTTGGTTGTAGGTTTCCCAAGGTGTTTTAAAATTTCCATTCTTCAACTGGAGCACTTTGTGCCGAACGCTTTGAGTAAACATCAAAAACCATACACCACAGCATTCTCACCCTTCGTGTTCCACCTTCATCTCATTCGTTTTTTTTTTTCCACTCCCTTTTTCTATAATATTCACACCTTCAATCGTTTACCCACACATAAAACACGACGCAAAGGGCTAACAACAAATCACAAAATCGTTAGGATAATCGGTGCATACACACATGCATCCACCGCTTGTCTATTACGCAACCAACGGGGCAGAAACTTAATTAGCTCCAAGTGGTGTTCATCCAGCATCCCCGATGCAAGGGGTGCGCATTTTGACTTGAATAATTGCAAAAGGGGCAAAAATTAATATCGGAATTTCAACAGTAAATGAAAATCCAAACATCTCATTTTAATTAAATCGCATTCATCAACAAACCGCGGATTTTTCGTTTTCGCTCCGCTCCTTCAACTTACTTTCCTGCTTCTTTTTTTCTCGAGGAAGCGAGAAAAGATGAAGTTGTTGTGTGCGAACCGGCCCAGCTGCGGACCTCCTCGAAACCGCCCCACTTTGCACCATCCCCCTCCTCTATCTCACTCGCGAATTATTAAGGCCTCTGCTTTAATCTTCATTTTTCCCTTCACTTCGCTAATCCCGGCTAGTTACCTCATAAAAGATCCAGCTAAATTTGTATCTGCACACATACACACACAAAAACCGGATTTTCTCCTCTATTTTCTACCATTTTTTTTACTCTCTCCATATTTTTCCTTTCATCCCCTCGAATTAACTTTAATTACACTTATTATTTGCGGATCGAAAACGCGCTGCTTAATATTATGAAAGTTTTTAATTGGACTCTCGTTATACTTTAACCCAATTACATTTCATTATTACACAATAAGTTTGAGTTTAAATCTACAGATGGCGCCTCTTAACATACACAGCAATTATTCATATATGTATTTTCAGTTTTATCTAAATCTATATACGTAATAATTATGGATATCCATCAGTTTTACTTTCTTTGAACCGTGAAACGATTGTCCTTGAACCGACTGTTATGTAATATAACAAGAGAACAATGTGTTCGAACACATCGAAACGAATCGTGAATATCCTGACAGATTATATAAATTCAATTAAAATCGTCGGTTCGGTATAAATTGGATATGAAATGAACGTCATTATGTGGGTGGCGGTGATTGATGGCAACATAATGCGTTTTCTGCAGTGCAGCCAACTTAATTAATCTTTTATGCGGCTGAAACGTATTCCGGTTTATTGATTTTAATATATAAATGATTAGCAGACAATTATACAAACAGACACATATTCAATTAATTACGAGGTAATAGGTTTAATTAGCGCGGTCCCACTATTGCACACGCCGTCTCGTTCACTCCAATTTCTGGTGGCGTACAACGCGAAACCCAATTAAATAAGGCATCCTTTAATTTGTTCATTAACAAAAGCAACAACACAAATACAAAAACTAACAAAGTACTCAATTATTTACACGCTAATCAACCAAATTAATTATAGTATGTTTTTTTTTTTGAAAACTTGGTCATACTTTTTAATTAAATAAACATTTATATATTCTCACATATTCTCCAAATAGAAACAATACGATTTCATATTAAACTTATATATTTTGGTACATCTAATCTGTAATTTATATACTATATAAATATCAAATCATATTACGTAGTTTGACATTTATAATATTTAAAAAATAATGTCACATGTCATCAGACTTCATGACAACTAATGACATTTTTGTGTCATATCAGACATGCAATACTTTTTAGACGTTAGCATGGGGTAAATTATGTATCCCATAGATGAGCGAGAGGATACACAAAATTTTAATTGCTGAACGACCCCGTTACCGCTTTTGGGGTAAATCACCCCACTTTTTCGACCTATGATCAACGATATATTTGTCAACTAATTTGTTAAGTTAATTTCTCAAACAGTGTAGTATCTTTGGGAAGTATCCAAACATCTGTATATAAAAGACTGTGATGATGTCTTAATTAAGTTTACGTCGTAAAGTTTAGGCAAAATCTTATTTACAGAATATAATGATATGAAATGGGAACGGAAAGGATAGGTCTATTTAAATTTTACATTTACAGCCCATAATTTAGCATTTACTAAGATCAAAGCCTCTTCCAGGGAGAAGAACGACACTGCTATTCCGATGGTTATTCAAGTTTCCGAAGGGGAAAACGAGAATAAAGAGCATCGTGTCATTAATGTTATATAATTCAGTTACGTCGCTTTCCGTTTACTTATTCACATACACGTAAATAAAAAAAAAAAGCGATTATTTCCGGTATAACCAAATCATCCAAACAACGCAACAGTTTATTTCAATGATAAAAACATTTACAGCAATACCTCGAATAGTCCGGTTCCACCAATTTCCCACACTGTTTCAAACCGGACTAATCGAATAACTAAAAATAAACAAAAAATACATGACTTTAATCTATTTACATACTCATTTTTTTTTATAATTTATTTGACACAATTAATATTTAGTGATAGAATTGGACTAGTTAAATTAATCAAGTTTTCTATTTATCATAAATAAATTCTCATAACAAAAATTCACATTTTTCTAAAGAATAATTTGAATGAATTGCAGAAACTTCCTGAATATACAAGAAAATGCTCGAAGAACTAAAATAAAGTGAATGATTCAAAGAGTAAATATTGAAAAGGGAACAGCAGTAAAGCCAATATAAATCTAGTATAAAGGGAGAGGGTTTTGAAAGGGAGACATTGATTGGTAATAAAATAGAAGTAAACCAATTAGAAAAGGTAAAACCTTTGGAGATTTAGTAAATCACATTATGAGAACGTCTTGAATCTGCTCTTAATTTTCTTAAGAATAATCAAGCGATAATTATAAGAAAATATCAATATTTTAGTATACATTTTAAATATTAGTTATATATTCAAATAAAAGTTTATGTGCATAATTCAGAAAATTGAACTCAATATGTTGCAATGGGAAGTAAAATCGAAGTGAATCAAGTAAAAAATTGAACCTGGAAAAAGTTCAGTAAAGCGCACTAAACATGAAGTAAATCAAGTGAAAGATGAATAGTAAAGGGGATTACTAAAGGGCAGTCATATTGTATTAAATCAAGTAAAACGGTTTAGAAAAATAGAAGAATAAAAATATCTTTATTATTTAATAAAAAAATAAAGTAAATTTAATAAGAATTTATACTTTTACTTCAATTTAATTTGTTCAAATCATTAAATTAAGATATTAAAAAAAAACAATAGATTTTACATCAATTTAAGAAAGCTTTAATGGAATTAAGTCAGTAACAAAATGACAATTTACGAGACAAATAAATTCATGAAATCTATATAACTTTGTGGGCTAAAAAGATTTTTTTTTCCATTTCCTTCAAATAGAATGCATATTTTCCAAAGCTCACGGGAAATCGAGTTGATAAGATGATAAAGCCGAAAATTCGATGTTTGAAAAAAAATATGTTTACATTTTCCGCGCAAATAGAAAAATAAATCAACATTTGCATTGCGTTTTCAGGCAAACATTTACACATAAACACAAATAAAAACATGATGATTGTGGTCGTTTCAAATTCATTTGGCAACAAAATATTTTAGAAAATACATACCAATTGCGTACGAATTAAATGAACAATCATGTGAGTGATTTTTATTTAAATCAATTGAACCGAATTACTTGGTGATTCGACTGTTTTATAAACGGTTTATCGGATTGTTCAATGCATAAATGCTCATTGAATAATCCTCTAAAATAATAATAATAAAAACAAACACAAAAGAAAGAAAAAAACTGAATTTAAATAAGTATTTTTTCGAATGCGCTACAGAATTCAATTACATAGTTTTAAAAGAGCCGTTAAAACTTAATAATTCCTTGTTAAATCATCTTCTTAAGTTCGGCGCCACTTCAATTAGCGTAATTTCAAACGCAAGGTAAAACTCTAAATCTCACAAAAGCTCGCAGCGAACGGAGATTTATTTGCAATTCAATTTAATAGATGGAATTATGTATTTCTACTGTGCACAAACAAACATTCGACTCTTGATTTTTAATATAGTTTTTGTAACAATTTAACTAAATTAATTAATTAAAATTAATCAAGACAAATTTTGTTTATCAAAGCAAAAAAAAAAACAATAAATTTACGGTTGAAAGAAACGGAGTTTTCAATTATAAACTTATGCTACAAACAATGGTAAAATTTGAAAAAAAAAAGAGAAGTGGATAAACGATTTTAGCATTTTTTAATTACTGTTTCGTTGCGTTTTCTCCTCTGCATTTCCTGCTGCTTGAGGTGAATGCTTTTTCGATAAAATGAAGAAATTAATGGGACAATAATATAAATTTCTGCCGCGCAATTCTGTAGCAAATAATGCAACAATGTAATTGTTTTGTGTATTGTGAAATTGTGGTCGGCCTGTATGGAAATTAGAAATAGTCGTCTGAATGGCTGAGCATAGAACGGAGATGAATGAAGTGGATGTCATGAATGGCACATGTATAACTGCTGCCTTATATCATCCGCATATTGCATTATATTATATAATTCGCGTTCTCGAGTATTCTTTAAACTATTTCGTTGCAGTAATGGAAAAAAAAAATGAAAAGATTATTTTAATTACGAAAAAAAAATACTTCTTCCCAAAAACTTTATAACATTATATACATTAATAAACCTTTGTAATATTGGTTTAAACTCATGATAGAAATATACAAGGTAGGACAAAACTTAATAATTGATCCACCAATTCTTGAAGCTGAGACTAAATCATTACTTTCCAAAACTTTCCACAAAAAACTTGTACATAGTTAAACCAAATGCAAATGTTTAGAAAATTTATATTTTTTGTTATATTGATTCTAACAAAATATTTTCTGTTTTTCTTTTGTAGGAAGCATACCGGCGTTGGCTATGTAGTTCATTGGTGCCTCATATGACTGAAACGGGGCAGCGTGTGCGACCCTGTCTCAGCGTATGCCAAAGTGTTGAGCAGAAATGCCCATACATGCTTCCTGGGGATCGAGCACCTGCCTATCCCACACAATACGCCGGAGAGCCTACATTCCTTTGTCTCGGTAATTATACCTAATACCATTATCTTACAGCTTTTAGGTGGCAGATGTTCCAAGCTTCTACCAGAGGAATCTCATACTAAGTCATTATATTTTCAAGGCCTACATTAAATATTACATTATTTTGTTCAAATTTATATTTAGGTTCTTGATAAATTATTGTTTAATGTTTTATGAAAATGTAATTAACTAAAATTTCTGATATTACGAAATATTAATTTGTTTTCAAATAAAGCAATACCTCTCACAGTGCGGTTTCAGTTTAAGTCCAGATTCACTACAGTCACAATATTTTGCATTTTTGTATATGCATTTAGTTCTGGTTTCAAACAGTCCGGAATATTGACGTAACAGATTACCCGCACTATGCGAGGTATTGCTGTATTTTAGTAACAATATCATAAGTTATTTTTCTCTTTAATGTGTTTTTTTTAAATTATCAAAACAGTTTTAGATATATTTTCAATAATATGTTTATTAATGTACATGTCTATGTTTTAATATGAATAGGATATGTTAATTTTAATCATTCTTAGATAATGCAATACAATTTCTAGATTTTCATTTGAAGCCAAAGTTTGTATGTTTTTTTCATCTAAAACTTTATATTACCTATATATGTTTTCAGGATTGTATAATATGTGTTCGGTAAGTGTTTTCTTTAATACGGGCGTTTTTAAATAATTAATAGTCAAAGATCAGTTAAAAAGGAAAAGCTCTCAAGAAAATAATGTACTAGCATAAATATGAATTTCGTAAAATGGTGGATGCGCAAGGAAAATGTAGTGTTTTCATCGCGTCCCTAATTGCAGAAATCCATCGAATTAACTTGAATGAATCCCTTCCTATTAATGAACGGATATAAATCAGATGAATCGAGGCCGATATTAATTCCACGACAGTGGGAATGTTGCCCCAGAGTATATCTTGCCAGCAGGGGCGGTTTTAAAGGGTTTCGTGAATTATTGATTGTTTGCGGGAGGGCGGCCGATTAGAGCAGTCTCAAGACGACCGGCCAGAAGGGCCCCTTCTCCTCTCCCGCCACCGATCAGGGACTGACGGACGTGACCCTTCAGGTATATTACTTGCCAATCACAATTACCGCCCTTTATATATAGATCTATATATATATACACATCCCTCCATCTCTCTCTTTAAATCACGGACCACTCCAATCTCAGACGTCCCACTTTTCCCTCACAGAAATGATCTGCACGCGTTGCAAAAACCCCAATTTTTGATCCCCCAAAAGTGAATCGAAAGAAAAAATATATATATATTTACCGGCTTCCCCGTCGCGAACATTCGAAGATGGAGGAAGGGGATGGAACGCGGCAAAACATTATTTTTTTCCCGCCCCGGATCGATCTGTGCCAATGCACGAATGTTTGTATGTTCGTCGCTTTTGTTGTTGTGCTCGGCCCACCCCTGTAAAACATGTTTTTTTTTTGTTACCGCCGCGGGATTTATTTTTACCGAAACACAACCATCGCGGTATTCGCCACAAACAAAAAAAAATGGTATAACCCGACGAACAGGAATAAAATCGCATCACTAATCCACGGATTTCGCGCTGGTTGGATACATATTTATTAATTCCATCCACTCACACTTTTTTTTTTAATACTACAACTCTTTTTTTAATAATTTTTCTAAGCCTCTCAAGAGACAAGTGAATCTGTATGCTTTATAACATGACTAATTATTAGCAACTATATAATAGTTAACAAATTGTATTCATTGAATCATATAAAATAATGTGTTAATACTGTTCAAATATTGTTTCAGTGACATTATGTAAAAGTTGGTACGATTGACGGTTGTTTATGTCATATGTCCCACATAATGCATATTTTTAATATTAGTCCTTTTGGCATTTGCTGATACAAATACAACTTCAAATTCAGTTTTACTCTCATTATAGTGGCGTAGCAAGAGGCTGCAATGCGGAAGGGCCCACGTTTTGGTCCTCGTTATCATTGACTAATTAATAAAAAAATATATTTATAATACATAATTAGTTGTTAACTTAATAAGACACCTAAGACCCAAAGCTCCCAAACAGTGTTAGTGGACAAGTAACCTAAGAACAGCAAGAAGGGCCCTCCAACCATTCTTACGGAAGGATGGAAGTTTTAGTCCTCGTTATCATTGACAAATTAATGAAAAAATATATCAAAAATACATATTTAGTTATTAACTTACTAAGACAACAAAGGTTCCCAAACAGTGATAGTGGACAAGTAACCTGAGAACAACAAGAGGGGCCCTCCAACCATTCTTGCGAAAGGACCCTTTATTTCTACCGACGTCATGTAATAATTTATACGCTTGATGGAATTTTACATATATCTCACAAACAATGCCAATACACCATTTTTTGAATTATTAATCCCTTTGGCATTTACACACATAAATAAAGGTTATTATTCGTTTTACAGTGATAGAAAATACAAAATAGTTCGATTTCTGTTTTATGTTTTAATTACTAGGACTCCTTCAAGTGAATATCCAAATAGCAAAGCGAAAGATGTCCTTTGAATTGATTTCAAAGAGAGCTTTCATTACAAAGGCTCCTCGGCCTTAAATGCATTCTGCTTCGCAGAATTTACATCGTTCTACTCGCGACGCTCAAAGAATCGGAAAGTTAATTAAAATAATAATAATTTTATCTAGATTACAGCGAACGCTGCAAATTTACTCATTGCTTCTTACACTTCAATTCATTGCATTGAAATCAAACGGAATTTTTCAAACGAGATCATTTATATAACATGAATCTTCAAAAGTTAATACTGATAGCAGCATTTCAAGAGTAATTAATCACATTCAGGTTATGTAATAAGCAGGAATCGTAATATTTAGGATTTTTTTCTCACCAAGTTCATAACAACATTTTCAGTTTACTAATTTTTTAATTCAATTCCTTAAATTGAAAACAAATATCTTGAAAGTTGATCATATAGACTTAAATCTTCTAAAAAAATATTATCTTGGGATAATTACCGTGGTTCTCAAAATCGTTATACCATTTTGTTTTTGGGTTGTGTTTCACACCAATAATTATAAATTAATTCAGTAAAAAAATATTTGTATGTGACAATTTTATTTCTAATATATTTCAAAATAAAAGCATTTTTTTTATATATAAATTTGCTTTTACAGTAAATCCCTGGTAATCCGTCAAGGGTCGAGCTTAAGGCACCAAGGGTTGAAATAAATAGACGGATTAACGAATGTGCGAAATTGATAAGAGACTCGCAGAGCGAAGTAATCGGCCGGACGATTATCACATGGTGCATAACGGATTACTGAAGTGGACATACTAAAAATTAGATTTAAACTATACAAAAAAAACAGAGTTTAAAAATAAGACTAAAAACCCATAAACTGAAAGTAATATATATATATACAAAATGTCGATTCTAGGTTTTCGTCTTCAGTTACCCTTCCGGCTTGCGGGTTTTTAATATTAAATATTTTGTGCAATTACGTAAGCATTTTGATAAACTTGCGAGCGGAGGGGGCTCGGATCTGCTCTGCTCTTTGTGTGTGCACGCGCGTGTTTATGTATGCATGCGGGATTTCGCAGGCCTCGGTGGATATTCGGGATAAGGCCTTTTTGGCCCGTTCGCATTGCATCTATATTGCTTTCAGCTCCATCCGTCCTTTTCCGAAAATTAATATTACAGTTCCCGCATCGCATCCGCAGCCAAATTATCATGCAGAACGTTTATTACGCAACCATCTAGTTGTTCCGGGCGTGCATCTTTATTTGTTGCCTGCAGCCTGCTACTATTCACAATGTGCTTTCATTCAAATTCCCAATATAATCCATTGTACTATCACATTCTACTATTAAAAGAAAGTCATTAGTGAACAATGTTTTGTTTCACCTATTAAACTCATTGATTATAAGTTTATATTATTGAAATTATCTAAATTTGTCATTTCCTCAATTTAAGTTTTAATTTATCAAATATTTTTATTAAGAAATAATTTAGAAAAAAACATAGTAAGCTTGAGATAACCACGAGCCCTTGGAATCAAATAATCAGGGCGCACGAGACAATTTGGGACCCACAAAAAAATAATTCAAATTGAATGCCCGTCATTATATTTATATTCATGAAAAATATTTAAATTAGAATTCACCCCCTTCACCAGTTCAACCAACCCCTCTCTCACTTCACCCCGTCGTGATCTACTTAACTGACAACAACCTTAATGTGGCCCTTCAATAAAACAAAAAAATTTCCTGTGGCCCCAAATTAAAATTTGCCTTAGTCTTCCAAATAAAAAAAATGAATGGGGCCCACAAATTCAATCTTTGATTATTGGATACGCCACTGTTTATCACTACAATAGTTTTACTAAATAATAAACTTTTTCTATTGTAAATCGCGTATACATCTTTTTTTATTTTATCATATGTTTTCTTATACGGTTGATGGTGTAATAATAATCAATATTATGTAAAGTTGTTGAGGATCTGTGTGCTCCTTTATATAGCAGAGTATGAAGTCAGCAGGTTCTGCTTGTGCCATTTAATCTTTCCGTTTCATTAAAAGATTTGTTCATTTGGCAGTTTAATTTTCATAACTGTTGAAAATTCTAAGAAAGTGCTAACGTGTAAACTTACTAAATTATGCAAGCATAAAGTTAAAGGCATAATGGGCGGCGCGCGTCAAAGTTAACTTGATCCTCTTTGGATTCCAGCCAACGATGTATTGTTGCGCGACGCGAAGGGAGGATCCTTTTTGAATAATAAAAATATTAAACAAGGATCATATAGATATATATATTATTTACGTTCATTTTATTTCCGATTTAACTTTTTATTGCCGACGAACACAGAAAATTAATTAAAAGAAAAAAAAAACGCACGCGATGAATCGACGGAATGTCCACCCTCCATTCCCCCATTGTCTTGTCGATCAAACATCCCCCTTTTTATCATCCCCTTTTATATATTACAACCTTTCTGTGTACACAAGCCCCATTAGAATTGTATACGCAATTCGACGATACCGTTTCAATTAATGACAAATTACAGACGAACTTTTCGCCCTCACAAAACATTCTTTCTGCTCCTTCTCCGACACGCCAAACCTGAAAATATTTACATAAAGGTGTGTAAACCGAAGGAGAAAAAAAAAGTTTTCGTTTCCGCTGCCGGAGAGAAGTTTCTGACTACGGGGTGAGAGGTTTTACTAACAAACCTCAACGAACTCCCAAAAAAAAAATGTTATTTAAAAAGGTGTTTTTCACGAATTCTTTTCCGAATACATTTTCAACTTCACTGTTTCAATTTATGACTCTATGCTCATATTTATTGAAGTTCTTTACACAACAATAGTATTTTTGTTGTTGTTGTAAAACATTTATTTCATATTTACCTAACCACTAAATATTTTAACAAATTGTCAATTTTTAACAATTAACTAAATGTACAATAAACTTGGAATGTTTACATAAGCTATGAAATGTTTCATGATCCAAATGAAATGTTTATTAGGGTATACCATATATTTTACCTTCCCTATTCGAGACCGAATAGTTTACTAACTGCTACTATTTCAATTTATGACCTTGTGTTCTTGCATGCTATTACTGTGTATTTATTGAAGTTTTATGCAAACCATTCACTTTTATTTATCAATAAAAAAGATAAACATGTTTTTCAATCCTAGATTTCATATGTTTTTAAGTAAAAAACTAAATTAATTTCACTAAAATAGTTCTTAGAGTTTAATTTTAATTATTTGAAGCCAATTATATAAATATTTAATTAGAAAATTTTAAAATTTCTCAAGTATAAATTGTGTTTCATAATTCAAACGAGACGTTTATTAGGATGTAACTTGAATCACCGATGCTCAAGATAGGGAATACAACAATATATTTTACCCTCCCTATTTGAGGCTGAATGGTTTGCTTACCCTCTGCAAGTATACGCAGAGTGTTTGACTTAGAGTGTTAGAAACGAGCTGCTGGGGTTGTTCGGGATATAGAGATAAATGTAAGCTACTCTATATCCGGCCAGGTATATTTACCATCCTCTGCTTATACAAAGAGGGATACTGAATCATCCCCAGTAATTTCCTAAATATTGGATGTAAAGTAACGTACATGGTTTGACAACACTGTAGGACTTTTATGTGCGTACTAAGTGCGGCTTTATATTGTAGGCTTCATTTTACAAATATTGATACTTTGCGAAATTTACAAAATTTATTTAACAGACTTTAATTAATCCTACTATTATTATTAATACCAATTCTTTCATCAGTGTTTAATTCTAAAATATTCGACTTGTCCTGGTACTAGTATTTAACATCATTAAACTTAATCATGTCTTCAATTTAATTAATAAACTTTAATTAATCCATCTCATTATGAAAATCGACTAAACCTTTAATTAAATGATTAATATGAAGATATTGTGAGAAATAGATAAAATACTTATAGTATTAGGTGACATCAATATAGTTATTCATAGCTTACTAAATTTTCAATTATTTTTGAATACATAAATTTTAAAATCTCTTCTATTTAATTGTAATTTGTTGTTACATAACAATTTATTAATATTTACGTAATCATTTGTTTCTCCTTGTATTAATTTAATTAATTTTCGTAAAAAAAAACTTTTCAAATTTTCTAATTGAAATTTTTAAATAAACTTACAAATTAAAAAAAAAACTTTAATTAATCCAACTTATTATGAAAATCGATTGAATCTTTAATTCAATGATTAATATGAAGATATTTTGAGAAATAGATAAAATACTTACAGTATTAGGTGACATCAATATAGTTATTCATAGCTTACTAAATTTTCAATTATTTTTGAATACATACATTTTAAAATCTCTTGTATTTAAATGTAATTTGTTGTTACATGACAATTTATTAATATTTACGTAATCATAATTTAATTAATTTTCGTAAAAAAAAACTTTTCAAATTTTCTAATTGAAATTTTTTAAATAAACTTACAAATTAAATTTTGTAAAATGAAACCATTTTAACTATTTTTTAAAATTTATATTGTATATAAGTATCTAGTGAACTACAAGTCAATTATATGAATTAAATCATAAATTTGTTAAGAATATCCTAAAATATTATAATGTACCGGAAAAGGATATGAATTAGTTTTGATCATATTTGATATTGGTTATCATTTTAAAACATATTAATTTGATTTGTTATTAATATATCATGAACGGATATTTTCTTCTCATCCTTTCACACTAAAATCTACTAATAAAGCTAGTCTACTATAAGCAGATATGTGTGTCATAATATCTGATACGAAGATGACGCATTTGAATCTCACCAAAATAAACATGAAGGTCGATAATTAACACTTTCCTGTCCTTTGATATTACGTACTATTACATCAACATCTACCAGATTCCTGTCTTTTCGAATAAATACGTTTTGATCACATTTATATGTGCTAATACCACTTTTGATTCAATGCATTTCCATAGAAAAAAAATCATCGAGACTTTGAATTCTTAAAATGGGAATAAATTCATCGTTTTGGTTGCACGTATAAAAAGTGATCTTTTATACGTTTATTAACATCAACTCTATATCCCTCAAAATATTCAGACATATTTTATGGTACAAGTAACTTTCTTATTCGAGTCCCCCTTGATTTGAAATAGTGAAAATCATAGAAACCTAAGCAACAGTTACAATAATTGATGACGGGATGAGGAGTTGAGGGCCCTAGACACCAGTAAGTTTTACTATTTGAGGGCCCTAAACACATTTTTATTTGGGCCCTCCCGCATTACCAATGATATAAATACGTCACTGATTAGTATAGTGAGAACTGATTGAAATATTTTGTTACAGCAAAGTGATCCAGATGTAGTTTTGATGGAGTTTACAAACTGTTGAATGAGTAAATTGAAATAATGTTGATGTTCTCTGTTTGTGTAGACCCAAATATACCGGAAACGGGCGCGCAAAGGAAGAAATCATCAACGGGAGACGAAGACTGCTGCTACTCACACTGCGGCACACCGGGTCGGGGGGTTGGTGGCTGCGAGGGACCCAACATCATCGTAAACTGCCCAGCGGGAAGACCAGCGACCAACGACACCCCAGAGCCGGTCCCTTGCACCGACGGCCTCAACTTCGGCGTATCGAGCTGCTCGGGCGGCGGCCCAAAACAACCATCATCATCATCATCGCCGTCATCAGAGGCAGCCGCCGCCGCCTCCTCCACCTCATCAACGTCATCAGCATCATCATCGTCAGCATCGATATCATCAACGTCTTCGTCGTCGTCTTTATTGGGAGGTAGCAGCAGCAGAAGCAGCAGCATCAGCAGCAGCAGCAGCAGCACGAAACCGCGACGGACTCTACTAAACAAAGTGTCGCTATTGTGGACCGCATGGATTTTATTTATAACAATAAATACACTTGATTATTTAATTAATTTGTTGGCATTGTGCGCGAAATGTGTGCGGACAACGTTGACGCGGATAAAGACCAAGTGGAGACCGTGGTCATAGAATTAGGGAAAATTAGGTGATCTGTGTTCTTTAGTCTAGTCGGTGATCGGAAGCGACGTATCCAAAGCAAAAAGAAGATTCAAACGAGAGAGAGAGAGAGTAAAAAAAAGAAAGCAAGAAGGAAAGCGTTGAATAGGAATGATTACTTAACAAAAGAAAAAAAAGGAAGAAGAAGAAGAAGGATAACAGCCAAAAGCAAGCAAACAAACAAACAAAAAAAAACGGATTCCCATCGGCATTCTCTTATTGGCGGGGTCCGATCCTTGATCGGAGAAAGTATTGTTTCGCATTCTTTTCGAATTCATTTAAACACAAATCGCCGGCCGGACTCGTTTCTACTTTTATTTTCTAGACAAGACAAAGTAAATTAAAACAACCAAAAAAAAAACATAACGTATCTTTAAACAACCAAAAAAAAAAATAACTTTAAATTTAACAAAAAAAAAAATAATAATATGCACATAGCGAATATTGGTCTAGGACTGCAATGCAAATACGAACGAAGGTGTTATTATATCCGTTGTTGTTAGCGCGACGTCAGGAGCCGAAGAATCCAAAACGCAAGAACCGAGACGGACAGAGGCAGAGGCAATTAGCAAATTGCAATCGGGTCAATTATACAACATCGGCATTTAACTGACTCGCCCCGTTATTTTCTACCTATCATTTTTTATACATTATATAAATATATAAAAAAAAAGAAGAATTATATATATATATATAAATATTTGAAGAAACGAGAGAAAGAGTAAATTCCCTTCCCCGAAGAAAAGAAACCAAAGCAAGAAAATGAATTAATATAATATATAAATAACTAATTAAATATTAATCAAACGGCTGTTAAACGAAAATAAAAGTAAAGTAAATCTCGAGCACTTAATTTTGTAATTGGAACTTTAAGAAAGAATGAAGTATAAATAAAAAAAAATTGAATGGAAGACAGACAGAGGAAGTAAGTTATGAGTTCAGCCGCACAACAAGAGCAGTCAAGTTGTTCTTTCGTTCATCTTATAATTCCGTTGATAAAACGCCTATTTTCTTT